TGATGTTTAAATGTGAATATTAAGATCCTGGTGAATGTAAATGGATAGAGGTAACAACTAATTGATTTATGTGTTCATATAACTGTTTTTAAAAGTTATATTTTAAAAGTTACCATGATACCATAGCAGATACACAGCAGACATATACTGTTCTGAGACGAGAGAAAATAGATAATTTGTGTTCCAATGATATATCAAAATACTTAAATGTGAATCTTGAATAAAAGCTTTATTAACAATAACATACTCACTGTTTGTTGTGTTTGTTTAATACATTAAATTAATTAAGACACAAATGTAGTTTCATTTGTCTGAGCACAAGGTTTTATTTTTTCAATATTGCACCCTGTTAAAACACCTTGATCTCTGTTAAAGATAAAGTTAAAAAAGCAGCACATTTTGATAAAAGAGAAAAGTTGGGAGTATGAATCAAAGCATAGCTCAGAAGCACATGTAGTGTCGTTTTCCGCTGCTCTGAGGAACCACACTCAGTCTTGAGTTTTGATGTCAGAAGATACACTTCATTACATCATCAATGAGAATAAAGCAGAGAAGCTCTGCAGAGATCTCCAGAATTTCTTTGTGTCTTCCCTTTTATACATTTGGATTTGGAGGCGTGGGGTATATATTCCATACAGTTTTTCCATACATAGAATGGTTCCTTTATGCATACCATTCTCCCTAGAGAGAAAGCCCCCCCTCTCTAGTCTTGTTATGTTAAAGAAAGCCCCCACTTATGTTTTTTCCAGATGTTTCTCATCTGAGGTCTGTACTTTCTGCCACGTAGGCATGTTTTTACACACAGGCATATGGGATTATAATGGAAGTATAACTGGATATATTAATGGCTAGATTCGCCTTGATTAATTCCTATTTGGATTAATAAAAATCTTCTACACTGAAGGGCTTCTATAACTGTACCACAGTACAATATAGGTAATGGCATATGTTTCATGTTTAAATTGGGCACTCCCCACCAGGTACAATATTGTGACTGTTTGCATCTTGTTTTTAAGCCCATAAATAATAATGTACTTGTTCTAATAAATGTATTTTGTAATGTACTCATTCTAATATATGTAAAAAATTATTTACATTACTGGTAGGTTATCATTGCACAAATTAACACACTCTCTACAATTAAAAAAAATAATAATTAGAAGAGTTCTAAACTAACGCGCTGTCTTCACTGTATCTAACCCACACACGCTCAAGGCTGATTGAATTGTCCCAATTCATAAGCTGTGTCCCAATTCAAAGACCACATCCTTCGGAGGACGGGTCCTTTGGAGGATGCGGCCGACACGGCCTTCGAAGGACGCTCCGAGTCTAGCCTTCGCAGGTGTTCCCAATTGCCTCTTTGTCGCGTGGCAACGGTGCGAGAAGAGAGCTGTCATCCTGAGATTTGTTAATGAAACTGAAAATAATGGAGCCTGAATTGTTAGTTTTTGACTGTATTTATTATACCTTATACTGGAGGAAATGTTGGTGATGGTTCACCCCCGGCACCGCCAGGTGGTGTATTTCAGGCTTAGCCAAGACCATGCAGGTAACTTATACCGGGACTGAAATCATTTGACAAACTTAAGATTTAATTGTGTAGCTGAGAGCAAGAATGAGCAGATATTGCTTCACTAAACTGAACATGCCCACCAGAAACAGAGACACGTTACTCACAAGAGTGCTTCTCCAATAAACCTTATTAATTCGGTCAATAATCTCTCAGATCTGATGCTGTATAATAATGGTCACGTTATCAGACGGAAACAGAGGCTTTATGAATGAAAGCGTCTCTGAAGTATCTGCTGGACAACAAACCAACACAAGAAACTTCAATCAGTAAAACAACCATGTCAATAAAATACTCAGAAATGTAATGGAATCTGAACCGCCATTTTTATTAATAGAATTGATCACAGAATTAACTAGTCATTTGAGTCACTAGTTCTGCCTCAAAGTCTAGTGAGCTTCATCGCTCCCTACATAGACAGCTCAGATCTGGCTGGTTTATTAATATGAGAAACAGCATCTGTGATCCAGTCACACAAACAACCTTCATTCACTGAATACATCCCAACAAAACAGACTGAATGAACCGCTCTGTTTTATCTGGAAACAAGGGGCTGTGTGAGTAAGTCAAGTCAGCTTTATTTATATAGCACTTTATACAATACAAAGCAGCTTTACTGTAATTAACAAAAAATAAAGTAACAATGCATAGTTTTTCCTTTAAAATGAAAATATGATATTTACCTTTATGTTGTGCTGTAATGTTGGATGTAAATCATGCTATAAATGTAGTGTTTAAAAGTAAAACAGCTGTGAAAACACCATGAGGCAGCAAGAGAAAAAAGAGGGCAGTTTTTTTTTACTTAACAGTTCAGAAAAGTTACTTATAGGGTTAAAAATGCCTTATTTATCCTGTAATGCATGTTATATGTGCAAATAGCTGATGCATACAGAAGCATAACGAATCACAAAGACAAAATCCCCATCAACGAACGCTGCTCTCTGACCCTGAGTTTGAGTCTATAAGCAAAATTACCTGAGATGTTGATTCAATTTGTCAGATGATGAGCATCCTCTAAACATGGAGCTTAGATTCAGATTCATTCACTGAACAAGAATAATCTGATCTGAACTTCATCTGGACACCAGATTCAGGATCTCTGAGAGAATCAGATTCACTTGAACAAGAAGAATCATACAGCTGAAGACTCTCATGACTCTTTCTGACACAAATAAACCTTCACGACTCACCTGAAGATCCTTTTACGCAGCAAGAAACATATCAAGATGATGATGATGATGATGAAGAGAGCAAACAGCCACCACAGCTGATCTAAACAAGTGATCAAATATCAAATCAGCTGATCTAAAATGATTAATCAATATTAGAAAGAGTTTTAACGCTCTGAATGTTGTACCTGAGTGCTGGAGAGACGCTTTATTCAGGAGATCTTTACAAACACACAGTGATGATAAATATGAGTCAATATGAGAGAAAAGATTGAAAGTGGATTGAGTGTGAATCAGATCTGCAGTGTTTTATTAGTGAATAATCACGTTTATAAGCTGAAACTCACCTGAGTCTGGAGCTGCTGCAGTTTCATTCCTCGCTGAAAAACACATTCACAATCATCATGATTCACTTGAAGATTCAGTTCAACACAGATTTTGATCTCAATCAGGACACACTGATGTGTTTCACTGTTTCTCTCACCTCTGAACATGGTGTCCAGTCTGAACTGTGATGAAAGAAAGATTCATTAGAGCAGAATGTATAAATTTAAATTAATATTAAACAGATGAATGTTGAGAGAGATCGAGTTGATTTACTCCTGAAGCATCACAGATGATCTCATGCTTCAGATTCACACAGCGAGACGTGACGAGACGATCAGATTTTACAGCCGTCGCAGGATCATTCAGTGTTTGAGGATCTGATGGATCTGCTATCAGACGCCCGTCCTGAACAAATAAACCACCATCAGATCATGTGTGTGTGTATGTGTGAATAATCCTCTCTGCCTGTCTGTCTATTTACATACTCGCCTCCTGTCAGGATTATTGGTGTGAATCAAATATTCACACATTAGTGGAAACTGTGTATTGATGTGCATTTAAAAAATGTCAAGAGCCTCTTCTTTAATTTAGAATTTCAAAATCAATTTAAATGATCAAAAAATTGTGATGTTACAAGTCAGAGTAAATCTGGGAAAATCGTAATAATAATGATGCATTTACAAACTAAAATGTGTGTTACAATAAAGCCAACTTTCCTAAATTCTAATAAACAATACATTCCTAAAAAAAAAAAAAACGTTAAACATAAAAATTATTTTCTGTAATGCCAGCCAAAGAATGTGAGGAAAAGACATTGGCATTCTTTAGCTGTTTGACTGTCAGTAATGACAACTGAACTTTATATGAAACTCATAAGAAAGCACAATGATATCATTCATATCTTTGAGTTGATCTGAATCTTACAGTTCAATTTGCTGGTTCTGAAGAAGAAGATGACCTTTATTCACTGTGAAATGATATTGTATTGCTTGATGCATTATTGTGTCTCATGTGTTGAGGACACAGCATCAGATCTGAAAGAGCTGGATCTGAAGATGATCTACTTACTGTGAATGTTTTTTGTATGACTGTGTAGAGAAGATGAATTATTGAAACACTTCCCACATTCAGTGCAGTGATACGGTTTCTCTCCAGTGTGAATCCTCTCGTGTGTTAATCTTCATTTTCATCTTATTTTCTGTCTATGGGATTTTAATGATTTTTAATCTTCAGATTTATTTTATCTTCTGTCTATGAGATTTTTGATCTGAATTTTTAAACAATCAAACATACTTCCTTACATGCATTTTTTATATAAAGTAATTTAAATTTAAACGTTAAAAAGTTATATTTATCTTACCCATTTGTGTCAGTATGTCCCATATGGCTTTGCTTCCTGAAAGGATTGCCCCCTCCCCCCTCCAAAAAAGGCCACACCCACTTTAGACCCTCATTTCATTGAACAGACATGTCAGGTGATATTATATATGTATATATAATTAATTAGCCAAGCCCAGGCCCGGTTGTACGGGGGTACTAGGCGGTGCTAAATACCCTCAAACGAAAGCAAAAGCAATTGAAGATCTGGCAAACTATCCAACATGTTTTTTTTCAGCGTTGAGCAATGTAGCCAATCATAGACATATTGTTGATTTCTTGAACGCAATCAGAAACGACTTAGTTTGTCAGAATTCACTCACCGCTGAAAGCACTAGATTGGTTTTTATTAATTGCAGTTTTGCACGCTCGTGAATCATCTCATTGGTTTTTATTAATTGCAGTTTTGCACGCTTGTGAATCATCTCATGACTAAGTGCAGATGCAATGTAAATAAGAGATATTATGATATTATACAATATTATGACGTAGTCACTTGTTGTATACCTTTATATTTACACTGTACAATCTATAGCCTCATGTATTTTAAACCCAACACAACAACAAGAAAAGCTAGTAAAGTTAGTAGAGCTAATAGGGTCAGTAGCTTCTGCAGCACAGACACAAGCATGTAGTCCACCATTGTTTTTGCCGTTACATGACATAGCGGTGTCTGACTAGGCTAAAGACGTGGGGTGATGACATCTTCGTTTCACAAAATTTACAGATTGGCTGTACACATGAAAACACAAAGGTGTCATTTTTAGATTTATCCACTCTGGGACCCGGTTTAAAAAAATTGCGGTTTCAGGCTCCCAAAACCCGGATCCGTTTGGACAAAACGCAGATACGATACAAAATTTTTACGTATACA